GACATGACTTGAAGATAACGTGACGTGATAAAGACGTGACGTGAAGATGACACTGAAAAATCTGCAGTAGTTTTAAGTGGAATTCTACTCTAACAAATGTTCCTGAACCAGTGTCTTATCGAGACCGTTGGATAGACCATGTATTAGCGTGACTGTCTAGATCTTTAATATCCATTACTTCCTTTAAGATCAGAATTTAAAGACTAAATAATATAAATAATAGCTCAATATGATCGATGAAACCCCATAGGTGCTTATGAATTGATATAGTGTTAATATATGTGTTCCCATACTTTTGATACGAGCATAAATGGTGTACCAAGAATTGTGAAAGAGTGGTACGATGATGAATATCGTGACTTACGTACCCATTTAATATCTAGGGCCGCTTTAATTATACGAAAAATGTGTTTGTTGTTAATTGTGGTTGTATTGCTGTGTGAATGTTCAAATATCATGATCACCAACAGGTGGCAGTATTTCGCCTTCTTTTCGGTTAGTCTCGAAAGACACCGAAGACCAACAGTGTAGCAGTCGAAACATCGCCATTTCCAATCGATATTGCCTGTAGGTTGCGAAACAAACGATTAATTGCCCATCTATTTTATTATTCTTCAACATTGTTGTGAGCGTGTCTGCGCCTTTACCCTTACGGTAACTAAATTTAAGTGCATAAACATTTACAATGGGTGCCGTAAAAAATTCAGGCACTTGTGATTCGTTTCACGTCGTGAACAGTTTTTAATAATGCAGAACTTAAATGTTTCCCTTGTATTTTCAATTTAGTGGCTGCTCTGATAACATTTTGAAATAGAGAAAGAAAGAAATGCGAAGCTGGCATGCCCATCATCATCCGCTTGGCGAGCTACCAATCTTTTCTTAATGTCCTCTTTTCTTAATATCCTCTTTATTCGCATGTCTCAACAAAATTCCCGGCCATAGACTACACTTAGCACGTTGAAAAGTAGACTTCTTTGAAAAAGGCTTACTTTAACGTCCGTTTAGACTTATCAACTTTAATTGCGAGTTTGTAAAGATGCATAATTCATGCATAACATCTGCTTTTCTTTTATCACAATTTAGAGACGCATACAATAATTGAAGAAAAGCGCGTGTGTTCCGTCGAACTTCGTAATAGGACCATCGCACTTAGTGGTAAAAACTTGCTGTCGCATTTTTTAGTACCTTGCAGCAACACCGCACTTTGTAGAGTTGTGTTGTTACAAAATGCCATAGCGTACTTTAACAAAATGTGCGATGATCTGTCATAACAAAGGGAGACGGATTTTTTATTACAAAGTGCGACGGGTATTTTGTAGTGCGATGATAATTCTAAAATGCGAGAGAACACATGTGTTCCTAAAAACATCCCTGTTCTCAAAGTAAAACGGACCGATAATTTGGAGATTTGACTAACAAAACATATATTCGACTCAGTTTCTGGGACGTAAATTCATGCAAATTTGTGGCATAAGACTGTGTTTATATTTCTTTTTAAAAAAATTCTTGCAGTGGATAAAAAGTTAAAGAAAAGCGCGAACTGTTAGATTCATCCTTGTTCCAAAATATGCCTGACTGTTTTTACTTATCGCATGTGTTGCCCCAGCAGTTTGGAAGAAGCCAATGTCTTTCAACTTTCTAGCATAAACATCTGCCTTTCTCTTTCACAAATTTGAAATAACTTAAAGATGACAGACAACCTGCTGCTTTCTTAATTTCCTTCTTGTTCGCAAAATAAAATTAACGTATCTGTTTGAACGTTTATCGATGAAGACGAAAAATCCATTTTCGTCCCATAAGCGTATATTATTGTTCTAACCTTACACTGAAGCACGAAACCATTCGTTGCAAGTCATTTGCGGGGGTAAAAGAGAAGCAAGGTCTAATTGACTATGGCAAGCTTCATCTTTTATAGACTCATTAAATGTCACTGCGCAGTAAGAACGTAGAGAAGTGTTTACAAAAAGAATACTGGGGAATTCTTCG